TACCAGCTCACTGCCTTGTATTTTTCCCTTCGTTTCAATGGAGAGTTTGCTAGAATGGTCTGGATTCCAGTTGCAGCAGTGGAATTTGTAAATGGTAGACATTTGTCTTTTTTTTTTTTTTTTTTTTTTTTGTCTTTCTAGCATCTTTTCAACACCCCTCTAATGTTTGGGAAGTTTCCTGTCTTATAAGTCCCCTCTCTCTAAAGTAGTAGCCAGGAAACTTGCGTTCCCAGCTGCCTTTGCAGCTAGGGCACTGGCTTGTGACTGGGCTTCTGCTGGTAAGTCATACATTGGTTTGGAGCTGAGCAATGGGACAGGGTGATGCAGGATTTATGGTCTGGAGGGTGTGTGGAGAAGTCATCTGGCTTTTGGGGGCAGCTGTGGCAGAGCTCTGATGTCCAGTCCTGAGGGTCATCAGTATGCACTGGGTAGAGCTGGGTGAACTGAGTGCTGGTGTCAGGAGTGTGGATGCTGGAGTGCCCTTGTGGGCTGTTGAGTTTCATCCCTGACATGTAGCTGAGGATCCCATGCTTTCTGCATGGCTAAGTCTTCTTTGATTAATTTTTTTCTGCTTAAGATGATCAGAGCAGAATCTGTTGTTTGCAATTGGATGCCCTGATTAGGAAACTTGTTAGTGGTCCCTGGGTCTCTTTTTTCTGCCACTGTTATCTATTCTTCACATCACAACTAGAATGACATTTTAAAAACTCAAATCCCATCTTGTCACTCAGGAGGAGTCCCCAAATTCATAAATGACCCCCTACAGCCATCCCTCATGCTCTGTCCTTGGTGGGGGTGGGACCACATCTGGTATCCTCCTCCTTAGGTTTTCCACAAAATGAGTGGATTTTTTATTCCCTTCCCATAAGGGAATAGAGTAGTAACATCCCTTGCCTTTCTCTCAGCTTCACTCACTTCCTGAGATGAGGAGAACTTACTGGTGATGCTGGAGAGAGTTTTGCCTATGCATGGCCTAAGCCCTCTTTGGCTTGCTTTCTCAGGCTGGCCTGCTCTAGGCTGCACACACTCCCTCTTCAGGTGGCAAGCTTGAGGCTGGGCTTGCTTGGAGTGACTTGTAATTTGTACAGATTTTCTGCCTGTAACTGGGGGAGGGTGGTAAATGTGGGGCGTAGGAAGCTCATTTTGACTTTGGGATCAAGCCATAAAGTCCAATTCAGTAAGAAAGCTGACCTTCTGCTCCCTCTCTATTACCTATATTTTATTAGTTGGTAGAAAACCCAAAAGGGAGAGAGGTTAACTTGTTAACTGGATCTCTTCATACCCCAGCAATTTCTCTCTCCCTCCTGTTTTGTCTCTTCCCTGTTACTCACTATTCTCAGTTGTAAAGGATGCCTTGCAGTTTCTAGATTGTGCCACACTCTCTATCACCTATGGGCTTCTGTACATTTTCTTCCCTTTCTTGCCTCTTCCCGTGGATAATTTCTTATTATTCCGACTTCAGTTAAGATATCCTTTCCTACCTGAAGCCTTCTCCATCTCTCTCAGATTGGGTCAGGATCTCTTCTTTGCCTCTCACCACCTATGTTGCTGCTCTTTTTGGTACACATCTCATATAAAATTATAAGATTGTAATTGGCTGTTAATTGGCCTGCAACTGAGGTTATGTTTTATTCTTCTCTGTCCTGAATTCCTGGCACACAGCTTGACATAGTATTTTCTTTTTTAAAAATTTTATTTATTTTTGAAAGATTTTATTTATTTACTTGAGAGAGACAGTGCACGAGTGTGGGGAGGGACAGAGAGAGAGGGACAAGTAGAGTCTTTGCTGAGCAGGGAGCCCAGTGCAACGTGGGGCTCCATCCTAGGACGCCGAGATCATGACAGAGCTGAAGTTAGATGCTCAACTGACTGCTGTCTAGGTGCCCACTGACATGGCATTTTCTGAATGAAAAACTGATCTTCCTAAAGGTGCATCATGGCACACTGGAGGGCCACTCATATTGGAAGTGTTCTGTAAGAGAATGATCCTCTAAGTGCTTAGTTTCTGCATGCGTGGGGTCTTGGAACAGACAGAGCTCCCAGCAGGTTGGATCTGGCTATGAACAGCCTTGCCTGGGACTCCTCAGGGGGAAGCCCAAAAGGAGTGGGGTTTGGGAATGCATGCTGAGGTTCCTGCAGTTGCTGAGAAAAATGAGCCATAGCCATTGCTTGGCCTCAGTAGGCTGACGGCCACCCAGCATGGGCTCTGCGACCTTCATGTCTACTCCAGCAGCCAGCGCCTGAAGGTCCTGCTGCCTCCTGTGGATGAGGGGCCTATGGAGCTGTCAAGGAGTTGGGCTTTCATGTGCTCAAGGAATATAGAGTGCAGCCCAAGGTGTTGCCCTCATGGGTTGGAGGGTGGGGAGTCTAGGGGACCTTCTGAGAGGTCAGCTGTCCATAGTGGTCCTGAATATCTCTCTTAATGCATATCATACTTTTGTCTGTTACTTGCTGGCACCACTGTGGTATTTAAGCTGGCCTCGTGGAGGCTGCTCTAACAGTGCCTGTGCATTCTGCGCAGTAGAGCTCCAATGGTGCTTTGTTGAAATACTTGACACGAGAAAGTACAATTGGATATGAAATCCTTTTTCATTATTACAAAAACTTTCAAAATTATCATTTGTCAGTACAAGAAAAGGAAGAGCTAGTAAACATAAATATGTCCTTGCATGTAATTCCAATTATTGCAAAATTTTGAGTGACTTTGAAACGGTTATCCAGTTTTGATCACCCACTTCTGTGAGTAGTTTTCTTTGATGGTGACCATCAGTTATTATTATTATTTTTAATTTAATTTAATTTAATTTTTTTCAGTGTTCCAAAATTCATTGTTTATTTTATTTTATTTTAATTTTTTAAATTTCTTTTCAGCGTAACAGTATTCATTGTTTTTGCAACACACCCAGTGCTCTGTGCAATACGTGCCCTTCACAATACTTACCACCAGGCTCACCCAACCCCCCACCCCACCCCTCCAAAACCCTCAGTTTGTCTCTCAGAGTCCAGTCTCTCATGGTTTGTCTCCCCCTCTGATTTTTCCTCAACTAATCGGATCAAGATCTGATTAAAGATCTTGATCAGGAGGCATTTATTCATTTTCAAGCACAAAATCTAGTATAAAAATTATGTTTACAGAACCAAGCTCAAGTTTCTTTTAAAAATATGAATATTTTATTTGGAAGTTTTATGCAAAACAAGTATTTAAAAACTTCCATATTACTATATATTTTCCTTATAATTATATAGTGAAAAGAGAGTACAATGAATTTTTTTCCATCAAGTCCTATCTAGATGCCCTTGTTTACTTTCAGTTTACTCTGGTGTGTCACTCAAATATTAGCACTTTCTATGTGTGCCACGGTGTGAGGAAGGTTGGAAAGTATTGCACTGAGTGGCTTCTTCCAGCAAGAGTTCCAGAAACACCCTCAAACAATTATCAATCATTAACCTTTCAATGCATGTTTATACATTTTTATAATTATTCTCATTATATTATGTTTCTGCCAGTTTGTTTTCTCTCCAATCCAGTCTCCCCATGAGCACCCCCAGATCAGGAGTCCCAAGAGAGCAACGTATTTTCTGAATATCAGGAATGCCATAGAGCTGTGGGCTCCTCGACTCTGACTCTTTGTCTGAGAATGTTCTCTGACCCCGAAGTTCCCTTTAGCTGGTCTTTTTTTTTTTCTTTTTTAGATGGTCTTTCTAAACAGGGTCCAGACCATTTTATTCCTAGTACAGTACACCAGGATTAAGGTTTTCCCTCTGATGCCTACAGCCTTCAAAGTGATTGCATCAGTCAAAAATCTTTTTTTTTTTTAATGCATCACTCAAAATTCTTGACAAAGACAGAAGCTGTCTGGATGAAAAAAACAGAATAATTGATTAACAAAATATAGAGGGATGAGGACCGTGATAGAGGCTAAGCTTCTAGGATTAACTTCCAAACATGACCTGGTCAGCTGACAAAAAGTGCTACCTGGGGCTGCCACCAGGGACCAGATGCCACTTCTATGCCAGAAACTTGCTGTTGCAGCTTTCTTTGCTGTCCTCCAGGAAAAAGTGCTGCTCCTTGTCTCTTGTGGGCACCAGCTACTAAGTGAGGCATGCGTACCTTTATTGGTGGAACTAGGTGGAACTAGGAACTAGGAACCCTAGGAGTGCTGGGAAGAGTTCTCAGCTGCACAGAGGGTTTCTCTGCCCAGCGGACTTCTAAAGAGGAGAATTCTCCAGATGTCAAAAGAGGGTCAAATGCTAGGTGGCCAAAATGAACGTTAAATGTTTACTCTCTAGGTCCTCTCCAAGATGGCCCGAGGCCTTCACCCAGTCTGAGATGCTGGTGAAGGAGGTATGGGATCAAGCTGATGGTACACACTGGGAGGGAAACAAGGAATCCAGGGAGATTCTCTTGTCAGGCTGGACATCCTATCACCCGTTACAGATGATGTCAGAAATCAAGGGTGGAGAAAGACAGGGAAGAATATTTAAATATTTATGTGGAATATTCCAAGGGGGGAATAGCTCTCTCTCTTCTAAAAGGCCCCAGAGCATAAGACTATAGTGTGTTTCTGGGAGAAAACTAGATCGAAGAGCCAGGCAAACTTCTTCATGGGCACTGGGGAGGTGACTGAGTTAGTGTCAGTTTTATAGACATTTGTCTTCATAACTGACACAGACTTCTCATCACTGGTATAGACACAGCAATCACCTTGCTCAGGGATCCAGAGCAATCTAGAAGATGCTCTTCCCCATAAATGTTCTTCCTTGTAAGCAGCATTCCCTTCCATTCTATCTTGTCCTAATAACCCATGCTCTAATAGTGAGTCTGGGGTGTGGGACAAGAGGTAAGATACAGATCTATCTCTGTTTTTAATTCCAACACTTTCTGCCAGGGAGCCTTATTTCTTTGAGGGCCTGCATGGTTTCTGTTCAGCTGGGGTTTAAATCCAGCACCTGAAGGAGAAGGAGGAGTTGGTGAGTGAGCAGACATCCCCTGGGTCCCTTCAGAGTGAGGAGACCTGGCTCTTGGCCATGTGGTGCAGGGCGCCTGCCAACTCCTTGTTCTGAAGGGTATAGATGATGGGGTTGAGATGGGCGTTATGACTGCGTAGAAGAGGCTGAGGATGCGGTTCATGGTGACAGAAGAGCTTGCCCGGGGCCGGATATAAGTGATGCTGGCTGTTCCAAAGAAGAGGCAGACCACGAGCAGGTGGAAGGAGCAGGTGGAGAAGAACTTGTGGCGGCTCTGGGTGGAGGCCATTGCCAGGATGACCCCCAGGATACGGGCATAAGAGGCGACAATCAGAGAGAAGGGGACCATGATGAAGACCACAGTGGCTGTCACCACAGAGATTTCACTCCTGTGCTTCCCAGCACTCACCAGCCTCAGTACTGGTAGGATGTCACAGAGGAAGTGTGGGATGATGGGGCGGCTGGGGAAAGGGAGAGTGAAGATGAGGGATGAGTGGGTGGTGGCTATGATGATGCCCATGAGCCAGGAGACAGCCACCATGGCCATGCAGGCCCTCCAGCTCATTAGGGTGCAATAATGCAGGGGCCGGCAGATGGCGGCGTAGGGGTCATAGGCCATGGCTGTGAGCAGGCAGCACTCTGAAATGCCCAGGACAATGAAGACATACATCTGGGCTACACAGCTCTGGAAGGAGATGGCCCGGGGCTGTTGGGAGGCCAGGTCAGCCAGGGTCCGGGGCACGATGTCCGTGGTGTACAGGAGCTCCAGCACTGAAAGGTGACGCAGGAAGAAGTACATGGGGGAGTGCAGGGTCGGGCTGACCTGTGTGAGGATGATGATCATAGAGTTACCCAGCAAGGTGACCAGGTAGAACAGAAGCACCACCCAGAACAGGGGGCCCTGCAGAGCCCGGAGATCAGAGAATCCTAGAAGGAGAAATTCAGGCAGAGTCTGATTTTCCTCAGCCATCACTTTAGGCCAGAACCTACGGCACAACCAAGGAAGAGATATTTATACAGAAAAAAGCAGAATGTCTGTAATTTAGTAAAGCACTTCTTATACAGTCCCTCTGGAATCAATGGAGAGAATTAGGGTCTCTACTTTATGGAGGATTCCATTTTGTCTTGGAGGAGGTAAATAATTTGCTGAAGTAATACCAAGGGAGTTGCAGGCCTGGGACTTGAACCAAGATTTCTTGGCTCTAAATTTGCTGCATTTCCTACTGTTCCCGATGCTCTGAGCCCTGGTGAAGGGCCTAATTTTTGAGACCCCTGCCCTGTACTTTGGGTCTTTCTTTGGAGTGGAGATGGAGCAGTGCTATGTCCTAAGCCCCTTTGTATTTCCTGGACTGAAACCCCAACCTGAAGAGACAATGTAGCACTTGCATTGTGGGCTCAGCCAGGGACTGTCCTAAGCTGGTATCTGATGATCACCGCGGGCTTTGGATTTAGAATGCCATGCAATGATGGGATTGTGATAAAACTGCCTAATTGTATCATGCCTTGGGATTCTATTAGGCCCCCTGTCACAGATCACTGGGTTTCAGTCTGCGCCTTGCGAAGGGAGGGGGCCAGGGATGGGTCACACTGTATCTGGCTTCCTCTTATTTGGGTCTCTGTGTTGAGCTACACCAGCTACTCTGTTTTAGCATGCTAGCTGGTCTCCCAAGCTTTTACACAGAGTGTGCCCCTGAAAAGAATGTTTCTAGGCATTCTGTTAAAATCCTGCTCATCCTTCAAGCTCAACTCAAATTCCACCTCCCCTATGGAAGCTTCTCTGCGCCTCAAGGTCAGAAATGATTACCTGTGGCATTTTGGTATTCTATGTGTCAATAAAGGTTATATTTTTTTAGCATGGCTCCAGGCTTATCAACATCTTCGTGGGATGCTGGGCAGTGTCTGTGGGCACATCTGCAGTGATGGGGAACTGACCATCTTTGGCGCTAGCCGCATCTAACTTTGGCCTCCTCTGTTTGTAGGATGGGTCTTTCATTATATTTGTCTTGGCTAAATTTTTAGTGTTTTACAGAATGTGTCACCCCCTCTTGCTCCAGATAGCTCTTCCCCCATTTGAAGATAACACCTTCCTCTGTGTTCTTGTGAGTCATTAGTTGTGTCTGGGTCCCAGCCCTTTTTAGTGCAGTCTCCACCGTAAGGTCCTGCAGGACAGTTGGGGAAGTAATAGGGGGCCACCTGTTTTAACAGCTATGGGTGCTTTCCAAGTGCCTGGTCCCTGCCAGGCGCCATGCCAAAGGGCTTAACATTCTCGAAATCATTGGATCTTCACAATCACACTATGACATAGAAACTTTCTCCATTTTACAGATGAGCAAATGGAAGTCCAAACAGCGTTAATACCTTTCTCGAAGTCACTCTTCTAGTAATGGAGGATGTTGGGGTTTGAACCCAGCCCCACCTAATAACCAGAGTCTGTGCCTTTAATCATCTCTCTACTCCATAAAGGCAGTTTAATTGCTGGATAACTAACAGGAGATCTTGCACATGCCAAGCGCTCTGCTGAATATTTATTAGATAAATGAATGGATCCTACTTATAAAGATGGGGGAACTGATGAACAGAAAGATGAAGTGATCTGCCTCAAGTTAGGCAGCCAGTGAGACAGACAGGACACTGGGCCCAAAGCTTGTAGAAGTCTGGGTTCCCAGCATTTGCAGGGCCTTATCACCCACGTTCACCCCACACATGAGATTAGCCCGGCCATCTCCATTGTTAGGCAGGAGAGTCTCACACTTTCTGCCTATTGCTCATAGACCCAATCTTCCTCCCACCCCCAGTTTGTCTGCTTACTGTATTTTTTTTTGCCTTATGTCATTTACTCTACAGCTTACACTAAGAGATTACTGTATGCTGGGCATTGTGCCCTATCTCAGGGGCCTTCATAACAGCTCTTGTACTAGTTGTTATCTCATCATTGCAGAGAAGGAACCAGAGCTCTGAGAATTTAAATTGCCGACAGAACCTGGCAGAACCAGAATATTAACTTGAAGCCTGAGGTTTTAACAATCATGCCCGCAGTATCTCCAGCAAGGCCTACAGCCTTACCCTACACTTCTGGGAGATAAACTCCATCTAGTGGGTTTGGACAGAAGTAGTATCTGAGTCCATTGGTCCTCTTCTCTTTTGGTTATAACCCTTCAGAGGCTCACACCACTACTAATAATGTATGGAAGAAATCTTGTTATTTTCAAATTAAAAAATGTTATTTTTGCAATTAAAATACTTAAGAAATATTTGGAGTAAAGTCGTCTATGATTTCCACACCTGAGTTAATTTCTTCTCTTTCTTGTATATTACCCTCAAGTCTTTGTCTCACTGCAAACCCATTTTAGATGCTTGTAATCATAGTGGATATACACTTTTGTCTTGTCCTTTTTGTTTTGTCCTTTCCTTTTTTTTAAAAGGTTTTTATTTTTTTAAGTAATCCTTATGCCCAATGTAGGGCTTGAGCTAACGACCCCGAGATCAGGAGTTGTGTGCTCTTATGGCTGAGTCTGTCAGATGCCCTTTTCCATTTCCTTTTTTTTTTTTTAAAGATTTTATTTATTTATTTGAGAGAGAGACAGTGAGAGAGAGCACGAGCAAGGAGAAGGTCAGAGAGAGAAGCAGACTCCCGCGGAGCCGGGAGCCCGATGTGGGACTCGATCCCGGGACTCCAGGATCATGACCCGAGCCGAAGGCAGTCATCAACCAACTGAGCCACCCAGGCGTCCCTCCATTTCCTTTTTAATGTTTGCTTGAAGCATTTTGCTCTGTGATCTTTTTTTTTTAAGATTTTATTTATTTACTTTTGTGTGTGTGTGAGAGAGAGAAAGCACGAGTGGGGGGCAGAGAGAGAAGTAGACTCCCTGCTGAGCAGGGAGCCCGAAGCAGGACTCGATCCCAGCACCCTGGGATCATGACCTGAGTGGAAGGCAGATGCTTAACCGACTGAGCCACCTAGGTGCCCCTCTGAGTGATCTTATTCAAAGTTCATTAGCAGTCTGTTGAATTTCTCCACCACCATTTAACCAACACTTCTTATACTCTTGCAACTTAAATTCTTCTACTGGGTGTATTTGTTCTTTTAGATAATGATGGAAACAATATCTTTGTGTATTGTCTCGTTTCGTTTCTGTTAACTTATTCCCTTAGGAAAAATTTCTGAGAGTGGTAATTGGCTAAAGGTATGGACATCTTTTTGTCCATACATGTCTTGACATGTAATATGTACTTTTGGATTTCCTTTAACTGAACGCAAGTGGCCATGCCAGCCTTCCTTCCCTGAGTAAAGCTGGGATTCTTCTTCATCCTGTCTGTCCTCATCAAGCCTCTCCCACCATCATCAGCTCATCTTTTTTTTTTTTTTAAGATTTTATTTATTTATTTGAAAGACAGAGAGAGTAGGCAGAGAGAGAGGAAGGGAAGCAGGCTCCCTGCTGAGCAGAGAGCCCAATACGGGGCTTGATCCCAGGACCCTGGGATCATGACTTGAGCTGAAGGCAGAGGCTTTAACCCACTGAACCACCCACGCGCCCCTGTCACCTCATCTTTGCCACACTGTGAGCATCTCTTTAGTTCCTCTAGAACTAAATTACGTTTCACCCCAGTCCTCTAATTACGTTTCACCCCAAAATATCATCTGTGAAGGGAGAGAGATAAGTTTCTCCTTCCTTAATTTATCCTCTCTCTTACCTGCTCTATCCCCAGCTCCATCTCCCCTGTTTGCCGTCTGCCTGTGATAATTTCCCTCTTAAATTCTCTTATCTCCAGTACATCCTGACACAGTTGGGACAATCTTCAGAGAGACACTGGCCCTGAGGACACTCTTATTTTCTTCAAATTCTCCCATAGAGGGACAAAGAGAAGGACAGAGAGCTTTTTTGGGTCATAGAGAGGGGCTGAGGCTCTCTCTCTCTCTCTCTTTTTTTAAAAAAGATTTTTATTTATTTACCAGAGAGAGAGAGAGAGAGGGAGAGAAAGAGAGAAAGAGAGAGAGAGAGAGAGAGAGAGAATAAGCAAGGGAGGGGGCACAGGTAGAGAGAGAGAGAGAGAGAAGGAGACTCCCCGCTGAGCAGGGGCTCAATCCCAGGACCCTGAGATCATGACTTTAGCCAAAGCAGATGCTTAACTGACTGAGCTACCCAGATGCCTTTTTTTTTAAAAATTATTTTTAACTGTGGTAAAAACACATAACATAAAATTTACCATCTTAACCACTTGTTAGTGTATGGTTTAGTAGTGTTAAGTACATTCACATTGCACATTGAAAAGAAATAAAATAAAATGATAAAAAAGAAACAAAGGAAAGTATATTAAGTATATTCACATTGCTATGCAACGAATCTCCAGAACTTCCTCATCCTGCAGAACTAAAACTCTATACCCATCAAATAACTTCCCATTCTCTCCTCCCTGACACTCATTTGAAAACCAAACCTCTCACCCCCAATGCCTTCCATAAGTCTTAGTGACATAGGCAGCTGGATAAATCAATCAGGTAAGTGGTCTGTGGATGGAGCAACAGATAACTTGTGTTATCTGGCTAAATGGACAGAAGGTGAAGGGACAAAGGTGTGGCTGTCTGGCTGTATGACTGGTTAGCCTAGAGAGCCCTTAGTCCAGGAGGTGAGGCTCTCAAAAGGGGGCAGGAATGGATAGTAGCTCTTTAGGGTAGAGCTGATATCTTAGGGGCAAGGGAGCTGGGATTTTGGAACCGACAGAAGGATGTGGGAAATGGGGGGAGGACTGCATTTATGAAGTCAGGGAGGTCTTGGGGAGCATAGCCAGGCAACTTATCTTTGTCCTTTCAGACTTTTTTTTTTTCCGCCTGAAACATTAATAACGGGAGTCGCACATGGGTTTGTGCGTGTGTGTGTGTGTGTGTGTGTGTGTGTGTGTGTGTGTGTGTGTGTTAGGGAGGATACAGGGCAGCAAAGGAGGATGTGAGCAGCTCTGTGGATGGGGACCATT